TATAAATATTCCATGAAAATAAGTTTAATATTTATAACACTTATTACTTAGAAATATTCTTATAATGACTGTGTGTTTAAATTGTGTACAATTTAGGTACCATATAATTTATGTGGAAGGCTTTATAAAAATATTACAAATAAATAAGACATAAATACCTATTAAACATTTTGCAAAAATATTCATAGTATTATGACCTCTTGAATTTTAACTGTACATATTTAATTTATTTTACTTTATTGAAACATATTTTTAAAATAGATAAGTTATAATTATGAATASTTAACATATTGCATAATATTAGAAAAATAGTAAAATTGATTTGAGGAAAGTCTGTTACCGGGAAGCTTCTGTTTTATGTTTTTAAATTAGGTCAGTGGGGAGGAATGTTATGAGGGGCAGGTAATTTATCATATTTTAGTTTTTATTTAATCAACTAAATATTACATATAATAAAAATAACTATGAACCTAAATCATTTTTCTTTAATTTTTAACCATTTTTAAATAGGTATGCTTAATTTAATTTCCAAACRTAATAACATAATATYCAAACAAAAATTTTAACAATTATTATATTATATCCCRTATTATATCTATAATCTATGTTTGTGGAAAAGTTAAATAATATTGTTGACATAAACAATATTGATATGGTATTACCAATATTKCGTGTATTTWATAGGTATATTATTGATAATATCAAAGGGTCAATAACTTATGATAAAATAATATCATGAATGTATACMTATAATCCAACATTAAATAGCTTTTTGACCTACAAATTAAAAATATGAATTAAACTTTTGACAGTTAAATGATAAAATTGTTTTTATTTTTGTATTTTATTTAATTGTAGAACTGATGCAGCTCCCTCCCCCCACATCATATTGTTGGCCCTGGTACAGTACTAAATCCAGGCCTTCTTAAATAACAATTCATTTTGAAACATTTTTCTAATATATATTRAAGTAATTATTTGCAYGAAAGCCGGGCCCCTTGAAAGTCGGGCTCTAATATCATG